CGGAAAAGTGGCTGCCTTGCAGATTTTTTCCACAGAAGGCTCATGGCAAAAGGCTCACAATGTACCCACACCAGAAGTGGAGTGAGCAGTGACCCAGTCCAGGGGAGTCTTGTCAGCCAGGGCATAAGCCTTGAGGATCATGGGTTTGGGCCAGTCGAGGAGACGGAAGTAATACAAATGTATCTGGAAAATTAATTTCCTTCTGTAAGCTAAGAACCCACAAGGCCTGGTCCATTATCATAAATACCAGTATTAGTAAAGGGGGCCAGGCACTCCAATATCAAGCTTGACAAAGATTCCATTGGGAGTTGAAACGTTGCAGTGTTCCACATGTTCTAATAAAGGTGCCTAAAGACATTGGAGTGCCTGGACACTTTTTCTAATACTGATATTGAGCCCTTGGTTCAGTTAAGCACCTTGTCTCCAGTGAATTGAGTTCGGTTCCTTTTCTATTTTTTTGCAATTGGTCCATTATCATAGGCCAGTGCCTTGTCTTGTGCTTAAAATTCACTGCTCGCTTTGTCGTTTCTTCCTGCTTTCATTACTCCCCTGCTTGTCTATACGTAGAGCTACATATTCTAGAGGAGGGGCTGAAAAATCAAAAGAAAAAACTTGCATGAAAAGACAAAAACATATTTTTGTGTCAAACACCCATGTATTTCCTGAAGTGTGCCCAGAGTTCTCTAGAATGCAGCCACAAAGTTTGATCTGCAAAGGTAGCTATAGACTGTGAAAGGAGACATACATTGTAATTTTTTATTGTTTTGTAATAAAAAATGAAAGTCAATCCCTGCATATTTGTTGTTGTGTGGTTAGGTCCGGAACAAATGTACCATGGTTAAGACAAAGCTACGCAAGTTTTATCTATCCCAGTTCTCTTTCAGTGTTTTATTGCGTTTGTTTTTACATTTTAAAGGTTGCACCAAAAATCAAGGCTTTGATGATGGAATCAGGGACAACAATGGTCGGATACCAGCCCCAGGGAGATAAAGCTAACTTCTTCCGAATGGTCATCTCAAACCCTGCAGCCACCAAATCTGACATCGACTTCCTGATTGAAGAAATCGAGAGATTGGGACTGGAGTTGTAATAGTCGTGACATGTTCTGTTAACCTCATCCTCACCCACATCATGCTGATATGACATTTCCAGCACTTTACGGGTTAACTGGCTTAAAACAAGGTTTTAGAACAATAGACATTCCCTCAATAAGTTATAAATGTGCAATTCTCTTCTGGCACTTCAACCAACATAGGTTGCTGAAACATACACTAAATATTATAACAGAGATAAGCAATATTATCTAATAGGTGTACAGTAGAACCTTATTTTAGTGTGTTTGTTAAGGTAATCAGAAGCCTACATGGGATTTGAATGTTGTAATATATAGTACTCTTTAAGTGTGAGGTGGCATTTACTTAACCCCTTAAGGACACATGACATGTGTGACATGTCATGATTCCCTTTTATTCCAGAGGTTTGGTCCTTAAGGGGTTAAAGCAAGAATTGTGGTGAACAAACAAGGGACGTTTTAGGCCAGAATCACTAAACTTGAAAGCTACTATTTTGACCTAAATGTGTAGTTCCCTTGTGAACTCTCCAGAACACTAAATTTACAGGTTATTTACTTATGTGATGAAACTTTGAAATTCAATTGAATTTTCACATTGGTAAATAATCCTGTTAGGAACAGGGTCAGCTCTGGGCATTGTTTGAGCCAGCAACTGATTCATACAGGGTTATCCAATAAACTGTGAGCTGGCAGAAACTGACAAGTGAATCTCCAATTTTAGGACAAAAAAATGCTTAACTCTACAGTTCGCCTATTTTAGCTTGAAATTTGTAATTTACTAGTCAATGCCTAACAAGGCACAGTATTCTTAGGAAACATGAAGTATTTGAGCGAACAAGGGACCTGGCCAGTGGGATTTCTTATCCCTATGATTAAAGGATTCTTTCATGGCCCTGTACTATATAACTATACGTACACACTTAGAAGTACGCCACAAAAAAGTCTTGTTAAAAACATGTAGGTTTCTGAAATATTAAATGTGCTCTAATGTGTTAATACAAATTGCTTCTGTATATGCAAGCTAGAGTATTGAATCAATTTCTATTTTTTACCACGCGTTCTAATGCTCCACAGTACTAAAAACAACAATATTTTGCAATCTTATTCCTAATCTCCTGAATTGATGACAATTCAGTGTGTTAACTAGCAAGCTTTAGAAAATAAGCACATGATGTCATCAAGCTGTACTGCACCATTGTTATCTCTGTACAAAGAGGTTAAGTGAATACAGCTACAGATCATGATGCCTGTGAGGTTTAAACATGTTCAGACTTCTTTCCATATTGTAGTATCATTCAATACTTTGTGTATTGCAGGCTCCAAGTCAGTTATCTTTTGTTCTGAATAACACTGGCTTTAAAAAACCTACATGAATGTCTCTTTAAAGGGACAATCCCATATGATAAAAAATGTATATAAGAACTAGGGTTTCTTTGCTAATGCGTGACAAAAGTCAGAACTAAGAATGTATAGAAAAGAGGATATTGTTTAAATACAATCGCAATAACTATTGAACTGTGAAGTATTGAAAGTGAGTATACAAACCAGAAAAGAATTGCTTACATCCCTTTGCATATAAAGCATATTTGTATGTATATATTAACCCATTAGAGTCCATTTAAATAAATCCTGCCTAACAGTATTAAACCTTATTGTTGGTGCTTTAATACCTTTAGACAGCACCATCCAGTAAGTAGATTGCTCGTCCCCTTTGTAGTGTCTTGGGGGTAATAATAGCACAGTTGTCGTAACAGGTACTATATTGCTGTATTTTTAGGGATTAATTTATGTAGATTGTGTACATTATTGTTAAATGACTTTGTGCAATGGGAATAAATGTAATAGTTTTACAGTTATTTAACAGCTAAATGATAGTTATAAAAAAAAATAATTGCTTATTTATATGCAGAGATTTCCCATGTTAAAGAGGTGTCTTGTATTTTCTTCCATTTGTAATGTAATCTATTTATATTATATACATATAAATATATAAATATATATACAGTATATATTAATGAACTAAGTTCTAAATAACGTTTATTGTAATTCAGTGTCTTTGTGAGCCAAAGAAATCTGAGAAATATAGTGGAACCAGGAATTACGTTCAAATGCCCTCAAAAGGCATTTCAGAAAGAAAAATAAAATTCCATTTACACCCTTTGGGTGTGAGAGGTGCACCCTTGCAGTGTACAAAAAGTTAGGTAGGAACACAGGAGTCTAGTTTAGCAAACTTACTGCTAACAACTAGCTGTCATCAGTCATTTGCATTGCATACCGATACATTTATCACGGCAAAATTGGAGCAATCTTGGGGCAATACGCTAAATGTGGAGCAATCACCAAACAAAGGATTTCTACTGATTCCTCTACTGTAGTAGAAGATAGAAGGTAGATATTCAACAGACAATCCAGCTTTTGGTCAACTGATAATCTAGCTTTTTGGTCAGCTTTGGTCAACTGATGATCTAGCTTTTAGTCAACTTTGGTCTAGAGCAGAGGTATGCAAGTTTTGGCAATCCTGATGTATTGGACTACATCTCCCATAATACTCTTACAGCCATAATGTAGTGCTGTATAAATGTAGTGCACAACATCTGGAGTGCCGAAGGATGCCGACCGCTTGCTCTAGAACAAATGTTTAGCCTTCTGTGATATACTGAAGGTCTAAAACTGCAGTAGAGCTACCCTATGGCGACCTCTAGTGCACTGATTTGGAATTAATTCAGAACATATACATGATTGGCCATTGATTTCCAAAGTAATTAGGTTCTTTTTCATGTGTGAAAATGTTTAAGATAGAGATTAATTTGCCCGTTCTCTGCCCAGGATAAGTCCTGTGGAAAAATCAAAGCACCTTGTTAAAAAACTCACACAAAGACCAATTCTTGGGCAAGTTGCCAGCCGTGAAACAGTCAGTTTGAACATTCTGTAGTTTCCATGGTGATCAGAGCAGGATTAACCATACGGCGACTCTCAACGGCCACCTAGCGTCCAGGAATTAGACAGGTACCCCAGAACCATGAAATTATTTGTCCATTAACCATCCCTGTGTAAAGAATGCAAGGGGGGGGGGGCCATAACTGGCAACCTGCCGAGGACCCCATGTTAAAAAAATTATTTCTTTGATTGGTCATAGCTCCACTTCTAGAATTTATCCCCAGAATTTCTCTTTAAGGACGTGGTCAATATAAGCCATTAGACATAATTATTTTGCAGATCCTAGCACTATTAAACAGAGTATTTAAACTCAGTATTGATTTTGATAATCATGCTATATTCAACGTGCTGAATCAGAACATGGTTAACTATTTATTTATTGTTGCTTGGTTTTGTGTGATTTTCACACTGCTTACACCATACCTCTTTCTCCCTAATGAAAACATTTTGCTGCAATGCCACTATTTCTTGAAGCATTACTGTATATAAGCAGTATGCACAGTATATGTGTAGTGTGTTTCTACATTATCATATTAACCTTAACTAGTATAGAATCAACAGATATGCTGTAGTTATATTAGGAGTATCACCAGTACATTAAGTAACGTATATGCATTGACGTGCGTCACCTCCAATCTATTGCACCTTTCCCAAGGATGATATTCTGTGAGCGCCAATGAGGTCGAGTTTTAACCTTTAACCTCCTGGCATAAAAAGAGTTAACAGGTACGATCCAGTATAAGGTTTTAAAACATGGTTGCTCACACACGATAGCATTGTTAGATATAGCTAGTTGAGAATCATTAGAGGTTTAGTCCATGGGTCCTTTGGCTCCCATTTTATAGACAGAACAATTATAAGATATCTAAATAGAGATAAATGGATTAAAATGGCATTAATTGACTAACTACATAACATGTAATTGGTAAACATTAAATATTTCTCAAAGGAGAATTCGTTTGTACCCCGTCTCCATTCCATGTGTTAATTCATGTAATCTGTGTATGTATTATGTTTTAATAATATGCCTTAGCAAACCATTTAAACATGATCACTGCGGGTCACATATTGTCTCTGAAATGACTTTATGCCAGACATTCCACCAATTAAAACAGAAATAGTAGCATTTAAGTATTGGAAGCACAGCATTACAGCAAACAGATGGAAACGTTATAAAAAACACCGTCATTATACTTCAAACCTGGTAATCAGAAAGCTCAGTAATGATCTCTGACGGGACATGCCAGGTGCTATATTATTAACATGAACGCACATGTAACATGTGATGTCACAAACCGACATAGTATCTTACTAAGCGTCTTTTCCCAGATTTTATGGCACATCATTACGCCCGTGCCGCTCTCATTGCTCTTATCCACAATAAAACAAGAATATACCAGTCTCATAATATTTCCACCCACAGGACCACTTACCTACTTACTTAAACAAGTGTTCTTAAACACAAGAGGTCAAGGTTTTTCCAGATATCTCCATGGACAATCCCAAAATCCAGATCTCATCAATCAGACCCCCTTTCAACAAATCCCAAACTCTAGGTGTACAACGGAGTTCTATAACGTAATGTGCTTTTGTGTATTGAAAAAACGGTGCATTTCAATATATATTCTATGGGCCACTTTTGGGAATCAAACGAATTGTTCCCTGTTCTGTGTTCAGGATGTGAAATTGTAATATTGAAAACCAACCAGGCTCTTTCACATTTACAGCATCTTCCGAAAGACAAACTAAAGGGGCAAATTGCAATGGTCTATAATGCTACCCAAAAGGCACAAAAAATAGAGGACAGACTCTTATTTAAAGGATCCTAATGCAAATGATTAGGAACCTTTTTCAAAATTTCTACCATTTTTTTTCCAGGAAATATGGTTCACAGTTTCATAAAAATAGTAGATGACAGAGAACATCCCTAATCAGTTGAAATTAATAAATACAGAACGCTAATTCGTCATAATGTTCATTTTCATCCGCATCCCATTAAATCACAAATCCACGATCATATTCTAAGTAAAATGAAAATGTGCCAAAATGTCTTGTGAGGTTTCACTTGTTGTGAAAATCTTGTGACAATCGTATCTTGTCAAAATGTTTTGTAAAATTATCATAAAATGCTGTGTTTGTCTTCGTTCCTGCTATATGAAAGCACAAAGCGGCTTTATACTGAAACAGATTACAGATACAAATAATAAATGCAAATTTAGTGGAAAGCCGCATCTGACTAATTTTCTTTCTGTAAATCCAACAATTGAAAAAAATCTCTTATCAGCCGTAAGATTCCATCGGAACTGAATGTATTTTATTAAATAATGAATGGTGTGTTTTTCAGAATTCCAAACGTGTGAGCTGATTGCATGATATGCTATTTAGACGAAGGGTCTTTTCACAAAACAGCAATTTGTAAACCAGGTTTAGAAATGAAAAGCAAAGTTTAGTCTTAAATATCTGTGTTGGATATAATGTCTAATACAGGGTTGGAGATTTTTACAAGTTTTGACTTAAGTGAAACTGTCACTTCTTCACTTTTAGCTCGATCAAATAGCTAACTAAAAGTCAGATATTGGTTGTGCTAAATGCGTTTTTTTTCCTTTCTTTAAATCTTTATATTCCTTTAGATATTAGCTTAGATACTTTCCTTGCCAGCATCAGGATAGTATGTAAAGTAATTAAGTCTCAGTACCGTACGTAAAGCAAATATATGTGTGTATGACTCTGCTGGAGAAGATACTAAGCTTGTCTGCGCATGTACAGAATTTCTCTATTAGATTCTCGAATGAAAATGTGAGTGCCTAAAGAATCATAGGGCTGCAAAACCGTGGGACAGCGGTGTAGGTAAGTACATATTTTGCGTATCTCCACTGCCCAATTAATCTTGGTAAATGCTATTTCAGCATTTACTGGGGTGAAGGAATTGGGAAATGTCACCTGCCTGGCAGTGGCAGTTCCTCTTTGAATTATACGAGTCAAAAAGTAAATCTTTCTTAGTAAGTAGTCTCCACGGAGGTAGATCTGTGCAAATGAATTCTAGTAAGCCTTCGAAGTAGTACTGTATGTATAAAGTTTTATTCGCTAAAAAAATGGAAAGTGAGAATTTTATGGCCAAGGTAGCTCAAATGGAAATATATCTCCAAGTCAACGGTTTCTAGTTCAGCGAAATGTGAAATTTTCTTTGAATTCAAAGCTCTCATTTTAGAGAATAATCCTGGTGGTATATAGTCCCTGTATCCAAGACACTGCACATCCAAACAGACATAAGAACGAACAAAAATATTTAAAATATCTGTTCCATTATCATTATAAAAGTGACTCTTTAGGGGCATACTAGATCTTCATCATGCCAGACGAGACGTTTGCTATTCTTGTAATGATTGAGTAAAACAAACCCGGAGAAATTCACTAAAGTGTGGATTGTCTGAAATTCGAAATTAATTTAGAATGTAGCTAAAAACAGCAAAACGGAACACATACCTAATTATGAAGATGTTTTTGCGATTCGAAATTTGTTTCCTAAAATGTAAAATTCACTTTGAACTCCTGACAATTCACATTTTATTGAACATTCCTGACAAAGATGAGGTGGCTAATCTGGCCTAAGAATGGCAAGTTGCTTAACAACTACTCATCACAATACACGGCTTAGTAAGTAGAGCCCAGTGTTTCTGGGGTATATCTCTACCTTAAGGAATTTAAGGGTCAATCATTCCTACAATACAGACATGGGGGGATGATGAAGCACAGGAGCGGGTGAAATGTTGTCTCTTTTGGTTTAATACTACAACACACCTTATTACCTTACAGTTGTAACTTATCAATCTTATTATTGCAGTCAAACGACTGCACTGGGAGTTTATTATGTCCAACCTTGCCACACAGGAAGTCAGTCAGAGCTGGATTAAGGTTGCTCAGGGCCCTTGGCAGAATTCCAGATTGGGGCCGCCTCCTAGATCTGTGGGCTCTTTTCTGTGAGTGTTCAATGTGTGTGTGTGTTGGTGAAGTGTTCTACAGTATGTGCATGGGGGAGATTAAGTGTGGTGTGTGTAGTGATTGTAGTGATTGAGTGTTGTGTGTATGGAAGAAGCGGAAAGTAGAATATGCTGGTTGAGTATTGTGTGTGGAGTGTCTGAAATGTTTAGTGAAGGACTCTAACTGTTGTTGTGTGTGAGTCTGCGTGTGACTGGCTGTGTACTCTGTGTGTGTAGTGTCTGAGTGTGTGTAAGTTGGCTTTTTTTGCCCGCCATTCTTTGCAGCATCACTGGAAGGCCAGTGGAGACTTTTGTTGGTGGTCAAGGGGGAAAGTTATTGTCTACACCAAAATCAGGTGAAAATCCATTTATGACTTCCCTTGTGGTCTCTGTGATGCTCTGAGTTACTGAAAAGTGCTAAGGAACTACAAGAGAGCTCCTAAATTGATCTGCGCCTGATAAAGGTGTAGACCACAAAGCTCCCTCAAAGCTCGCTTTTATTCAGCATATTAAATGTTGCTCTTTTGCTGCCATTGACCATTAATAAGTGGAAGAGGGGAAAAAAAAAAAACAAAGCTTCTATTTTCCTCTTCATTTGCATAGTGTGCCCTGCCTATGCCTGGACTGAACTGGGTTGTGATATCACTAGGTATTTCTTTAATATACATATTAAAAGGCTATGATCGCATGAAAAAAGTTTAACACGTGCTACATGTTTTTTTTCAATGTTTTTTTTAGTGGTGTAATATCCAGACAATGACAGTTTCACTTTTAGAGTTACGAAATGAGTGTTACTTATCTAATAGCTACTGCAAATTATATAAAGAGGTTCAGACAACAGAGTTAAGGGTTTTTACCACTTATCTTTCCTTGGGACTTGAGCTAATAATATTATCTAAACTGCAGAGGTGTTTAGCTTGCAAGGCATATTATTATCACAGAACCCAATTCAAGGTTAGAATCAGCAAAATCAGGACCACACATACATTATACTGTATTGGACCCAAAACCTGTGATTATTCCTAGAACAAACATGGGTGTTTAAGTCAAGGTCACATTAAAAGCTCCTGCAAATGTAACTCCAGATAATATAGGCACATTAGATGATAATCTATAACAAAAGAGTGTGTACTGTATAGTTTACTTTATATGGATCCAAATGCGTTGTCCATATCCTTCAAGACATGGAGAACGAATCAGGTCTCCAATGCATGTGAGGAGAGCCAGATCTTGTGGCCAGTCAGTCAACCGGCCATTTGGCCAGGAGTCTATTGCCTACGGTAGGTGCTGAATAACAGAAAGACAAGGGGATCCAACATTTTTTTTATTTTACATTTAATTTTTTTATTATCACTGTACAGCAATATACAGGCAGGAATTTTAACATAGTTCCAATTCTCATGATTAATAATAATTTCAGATTGGTACAGAGGAACGCAAACAAAAAACCCAGATGGAAGATGACTCACGGGGGATTTTTCTACTAAGCAGAGAGTAAACCGTGACTCCAATCAGCATAAATACTTTTAGATAACTCTCCAGCCACCCTTGACACGTAGGAATTAACAGGAAGTACATATTTGTTATAAATCATCTAGCGATCATCAACAGACAATGCAAAAAATGCCAGACAAAATATTAAAACATCAGTAGATGCAGCAAAAAATAAGCTGTATATTTTTAACTATAATGTTAGCTTTATTGGTGGGACATTTTGGTGGCAAACAAAGTTTATATCTCCAAGTTTCATAGTATCCCAACATTCCTTGTACAATAGCTGTCTTTCACAATAGAAACAGGATAGGAAAGGATCTTCTTTGCTTTCATTGGCTGTCTCCCTAAATCCTGTCATTAGAAACCAAAGTGGATCGGATAAGTCCTTCAGACCATTAGTCCTCCTGACATACAGGTATCTGCAAAGCTATTCCAACAAACCAATGTATCTTTTCCAATCGTACAATTTTCCCACAATGCTCAGGTTTCCTCCATAGTTTTGCAAGCTCACCTTTACATTTCCGAGTACTGCGCATGCACTGTAAAATGGTCTTTACTTATGGCCTCCTGTGCATGCGTGAGCATTGTTCATTGCTATACCAACAATTAGAGGCAGGATTTACATTGCGTTGCATACTGAGGCATTATACTTGTGTCCCCTGCTGTATAGTCCAAAACCACTGCACGATGTCTCTGTGCACCAAATACTGGCGAGATGGCACCGTGTTGAAAAGTCCAAACAGTGTCTGTGAGTTAAAATGGCCGCCATCCATTATACGGTGATTGTTTTTCATTTAGCCTGTATATGTTCTGCAGAATCTGCATTAAACTGTATCTTCCAAAGTACTGAACGGATCTGGGTGAATTTTGGATATGTGGTTCACCCACATCCCCCGGTTCCAGGATATACTTTTTATGGGGTTATTGCATGTTTTGGGGTCCCTGTGATGTGTTTTATGAAACTGTATTTCTCTGTCTGTGATAATTAGATTACCCATTGTGTAAGGTAATTGTATTACAAGCAGAGGGGAGGATTTTGTGTGGGAGTGTCTGTGTGTATTGTACAGATTGATTGGTTGTTCTGTAAAACCCTGTGGGCAGTACTAAGTTTGTGGATTGGGAATAAAAGAGGCTGTATGTGCCAGTACAGTCAGTTCCTGTTCTTTTTTTTTTTTTTGATTTGACAATTTTTATTTTGCATTAAAGAGGCATGGGGGAGGGGGGGGTACAAAAGGCAAAAAGGGGGGGGGGAAGTCATGCAGTTCGTCTTGAGAGTATCATGGATACAGTGGGGTGGCATGGGGTGCAGTGCATACACAAGACATTTCAGTGTCGAGTAGTTTATTACACAAGTTAGTTGACCTGTTGTGCCCAAGATTTGTATGGTTTCATAGTGATTTTACATCAGCGTAACTTCAGGGTCACATGCCACCACTTCCTGGTCCAAGTGACCTTGTCTCATATTCAAATTCTTGTCGCTCAGTGGTGGTTCCGTAAGGTGCGGGTTGGTGGGGGCAGGTTGGGTCGGGGGGGGGGGGAAAGGGGAGGGGGTAGGGTGTGTGCGTGTGGGGCGTGTTGTGTTGGTGTGTGATTGGTGGGGGTATGTGGTGTGCATACTGATGTGTGTCTCAGTGGGTATGTGTGTGGGCCAGCCAGTCAGGGTGTGGAGGTTACGTGTTCCTCCAGTCGGGGAGGTGCGTTGTCTTGGTCGCATGGTTGTGGATGTCTTGTGGGTCAGCTTGGTTTGGTTTTGTCCCATAGGACCCATGCTTTGGTCCAGAAGGGTTCGCTCCGTCTGGATTTCCGTGCTGCATTTTCATAAGCCTTGTTTGTTTCCACCGCCTCAATGCATTGGTGGATCGTTGGAGCGATTGTTTGTTTCCACTTC